GTTATCAGCGTCCCACACAAGAGAGCAGGAATGTGGAGATAAGCTGAGGCACCAACCTGCTCCCCCCGTCCTCTCCGTCACTGCGATTGAAATGAGGACAACTGAGCAGAAGAACAACAGCAGTGATAAAGGATGTTTGTATTCCATTATAAAAAGGGCGGCTCATGTAGAAATGTGAGCGATGAAAGGCTGCATCCTGACCATTTCACACCTCATGCACAGAAGGATTTATAATGGCCTTGATTATTACATACAAACCTCTCTATTAGTAGGGGCTGTAACCAACGGGAACATTTGAACACACCAATACATCCTGTGCGGAGGAGACTGTGGGAAGACTTGGCAAGCAAATCTTAACTTAGCAATTCAGTGTCGCACAATGCTTGCACAACGCTTGCACTTTCATCCACAGCTTTCTTTCTGCCGTCATCGTAGGTCACTCTAAATGCAAAGTGGTCCCATACAGCAGACCTATAAAGTGCTGCTGGCGCGTCCTCCAACTCCTGTTCTTTCCCACTCGCCATTCCGTCACAATTTTCCACAACAACTGATTTTTTTCTGCTACACCCGGCTACGCTGCTTCGCTTCTTCTTCTTCTTGTTTACTACTGGTGGTTGGCTTTGGTCGCAGTACCGCCACCTTCTGCTCTGGAGTGTAAACGCTTCGCCTATGAGAGAAAGGAGCAGCGCATGAACCGAACGCAACACACGCGAACCGAACCGAGACAGTTCATCCCTAATAGATGGATGGATGGATGGATGGATGGATGGATGGATGGATGGATGGATGGATGGATGGATAGTAATGACCAGTAGAAAAAAAAGATGTTCATTAACATAATGCTTAAACGCAGAGATTCCCTCATTTTCCTGCTCCAGCCTCACCACACAACCCATCTGCTGATTAAAGTATGCACACAGGCCAAGCAAACAGCAGCATCAAACATTCTACTCTATCTATTCACTAAATGTTACACCATTTGCCATTACCCTAAGATAAACCAATAACTCTTTAACAGACTATTACTAACTCCCCCTTTCAGTTTGGGACCTGAATAAAGCAGATGTTGTACTGTGTACTGTGGGGTCTTAAAGCCATGAGTTAGTACAAGATTCTCAGTTTATGGAAAATTGAAAACATCGATGTATACTAATTTCTTCAAAACAGAATATTTACCTATAGCTACAGCTTTCAGATTAATTTAGGCCGGATATGTCCGCCAACTCTACCCCGTGTGGCTGACTTATGGTGTTTGGAGCTAAAACATGTCCACACTGAGTAGTATCAGTTAACACTTCAAACTGGTAGTTGAGGTCATCCACACCTCTTATTTTAAGGCATAAAAACTCAGCACTGCTACAGCACTAAACTCTTCCATTAACAAAGTATTTCCATCTTTCCATCAGTATTTCCATACATTAGGACATCTGTTTTCACTGGGAAATGGTAAAGCCCTTCGTTTGAGACAGTTTCTATAAATACACAAAAACACAGAGCTGCAGTCAGTAAAATTTATCCAAACTAGGCAAAATATCAGATCCCTTTGCCCTTTGAAAAACCACCATGACTCAGATGACGGCTGCTCCCATGACTGCTTAGGGCAATGTGATTTACAGGCCATCATGTCCGAGTGCCCTTCAGCCGCCATACATTTTCTTCCTCATGGGTGACATGTTTACCTGAATGATTCCCTAAACTAACGTGCAACCAAAGCGATTCCTGAAGAGGCGGGAGTGGAGGGCTTTAATCATAAATTCAAAAATCTAATTACAGTCACAAATATCATCTGCAGTGTGCCCCACTCACTTCATTTGACACATCTATTAACCAAGCCCAGCTGCTGCTTCATGCAGCGTTACAAACATGATGCTAGTGATGACACGTTTTAGTCATGGCCCTGAAGGGGGCTAACGCAGAGAAGGACAATGATGAATCGTCAAAGTTCTACCAATCACCTTGCAGACTGCACTGTAATGTAAATGTCATAAAAAGGTTAAAATCCACCCTAAGTTGGAGAAAAACCATTTAGGTCTCGATCAAGTCTGCATGTTCTCCCTGAGCATGCGTGGGTTCTCTCTGGGTACTCCGGCTTCCTCCCACAGTCCAAAAACATGACTGTTAGGTTAACTGGCTTGGATGGATGGATGGATGGATGGATGGATGATGGATGGATGGATGGATGGATGGATGGATGGATGGATGGATCATCAAAACATCCAGATACTATAAACTGTGTAAATCCCCCGTCGAGGTTAAAGGGTTTGGGCATGAGTTGGAAAATGAGACCGTATATAATTTGTAATGAAGGATAAATCCTGACATGGTCATTCTTAATCAAAATCTTACTTTTTCTGTTGGATTATTGATAATTCTGAAAAACAGGCTTTTAGTGCCGTCTCATTTGGCCTAGTGTTATTAGTTTTACTTGACACTTTTGGATGGATATGGAAGCCCTTCTTGGACAATGCTGAAGGACATGCAGGAGCGGATTTAGACAGGCAGGGGGCCCTCTGAATGGAGAAGACGACACATCAAACAGATCCATTATCCAGATAGAGAAATGTTAATAGAATAGACATCCATTACCTGTTCTAGGTTGTGTCCCTCTCTTCTTGTCCCTTTTCTTCTTGTTTTCCTCTCTATGTTTTGTACTCAGCTGACTTTTCATGCTGTCTCTAAAGGAATGAAAGATTTTTTCCAAGCACTAAGCTCACTTAGCTGATTGCTCCTTCCTGTGTTTCCAAAAAGGCCAAAGTAAATAACCCAGTCCTTCTTTTCACTGTAGACAAGCCATGATCTGCTTATCTGTTCTCCATTTTTCATTTGGATGAAATAATAGCTGCATGAATCATGACAGCAGACAAGATAGAGGAGAGCAGGAGGCGGGGTTACCAATCTACTCGCTCTGGAGAGCAGAGTTCGCTGCTTTTAGATGTTCTCTCCAAAGTCTCCAGTAGTAGAAAAAAGTCTCTAGATTTGGCGCTAGGAGCTTTTTAGAAATCAAAGTGCTAGAGGGGTCTGAAAAGTGGCTAAATATAGTGACTAAAGCGCTAAGTTGGCAACACTGCTCTTTGCATGGTTTGTTTTCAAATGGTTTGCTGCTGTCTGTTTGGACCTTTCTGAACATGTGCAGCAAATGGACTGATCCAATATGGTGGACACTGAAGGGGGGGGGGCTGAGACACACTTAATATTATCAGCGTTCTGATAGCATTTTAGCCAAAGGATTTTTATTAAAAGCATAATTAATGTGAACGTATAAGGAATATTTGCATTAACCATACATGTAAACAGAGTTTTATGGGGCCCCCATGAACTTGGGCCCCTTGGCAATTGCCTAATAGTAAATCCACGTGTCTACTATCCTGTTTCAAGAGTTTAGAAATGCTTAGACTTGGAATCTTTATTGATGGAAGTATGTATGCCTCCTATAGTTTGCCTAAGCCCTATTGGAAGGGCTTTGATCCTGGTACAGGTTAAATAAAACAAAAGTTTTGAATGTATATGTTGCATCTGTAATTATTTATACAAATCATAAGGTAGTACAACTTATGGGATAGATAGTAGATTAAGGAATTTGAAGTTATTACAATGTAAAATATAGATTTAGTACAAGTTACAGAATAGTTAGTAGAATAAGGAATTTAAAGTCATTAAAACGTAAAATCAGAAGTTAAGACAACTTATTAGAGAGTTGATATAATAAAGAATTTTAAGTTATTGTAATGTAAAATTAGAAGTTAGCAAAAAATAGAATTCAGAGTTGAGCAAACTCAAAAGCAAAACTTAAGATATTTAGTTTAATTGGCAACTTAAAATTTTATTGAAGTTTGTTGCCTTGAAATTTTGAGTTCATCCAACTTTTATTTTTTTGTTTTGCAGTGTAGCCTTTGTTCTATGTTATGTTGTTGTTAAACAAAAAATAATAAAAAATCTATTAAAAAATAAATTATTGGAAAACCTTAAAAAAAACATGATGAAAAATGTAAAACAATATAATCTCTATTCAACAGCTGATTACTGCAGAACAGCTGAAGGACCGTGGACAGTTCAGCCTCTCCTGAGTCAGCCCACGTGTGGCACTTATGATAGTTTATAACACAGCCATAAAGTCAATAAGGCCACATCACTAAATCATAAAAGTGAACAGCATTGTTAGCACTCCACAGGTGATAATCTGTGGCTTCTGTTTCATCAGAGCTGCTGTTTATAGAGACAAATGAGCTGGACTGGAGGATAGCGGCCAAACACTGACTGTAGCCCACATTAAGCTCACCTGACAACCTTAAATCAAACGTCCCTGTAGATCATAACACATTTAAAACAACCAAACAGCAACATTTTGCTTCTCCAGAACAACCAAGTCGGTCTAAAATAACGGTACCCGACAGCGGGATGAGCGAGCGCATCACCTCCCATTCAACGCAGGAAAAGTCATGTTTCCCTGAGCTGACTCCATGTTTCCAGCTCTCTCCTTCCCTCCCTCCCACACACCGACTCCTTCACAAATCCCGTGCCCCCCTCTTCATACCCTCTTGGGCAAATCAAGCCCCTAACTGGCCGACATTTTGTTGTAGAAGCTAAGCTAGCGCTACAGTTACCTGGACACACTTCTAACAGCCCGTCCGAACGATGACAGCAGGGGATGGGTGATGGAAGGAGGGAGGGGGGGTTCATGGTTTAATATAAAGGCCCCCCATGTAATAAATAAAGCTAAATACAGCAGAGGGGAAGGTTATAACTGGTGGTTAACCTGAGGGATAACGGTAGCTTGGTGGACAGTTAGCGCGCGGATGCAGTTAGTTAGCCGCGCGGTGGCTAAGTTACCTCGGCTGCTTTGGACCGTTATCGCTCGGTGTTTCTACCCGGAGGGGTGACAGCTTTAGTTCGCCTCTAAAGCTAGAAAAAAAGCTTTCTTTACAAGAAAAACTAAATAAAATAAAAATCCATTCACCTTAGAAACGGTAAAGGTCTCCGCGGCGCGCTGGTGGAGGTCCTACCGTGGAGGAAAAGGGTCTCCCTGGTGTGGCTCCAGAGCAGCAGCTACCGCCGCACCGCAATGGCAGGCAGTGGATGAACCCCCCCTCCCTCTCAGCGCGCTCGCGCTCCGGCTGCCTCTCCGCCGCGGTGACAGTGACGGGCTCGCTTGGAGGAAACCATTCCCGTTTGTTCGCAGGGGGGAGGAGGGCGAAGAAGGGATGTAGGAGGGAGTCACGTAGGAAGCCCGTAACAGCGGCAGCAGCACGCGGCGCCATTCCATCATAACATTAAAAAAAAACAGCCATCAGATGGAGCGAAAATAAATCTATACATGTTCCCACTGATCTAATCTGCTCCCCTTATGGAAAGAGAAATGGAACCGGCTGTTTATTATGTCATCGATTTTACTAAATCCATTATGAAGGAAAATTTCATCCCCCACAGAATGGGCTCCTATATTCTCCCATTAATTGTTAAATGCCCACATATTATTTATGTACAGTAATAAAAGAGCAACCTCTGAAAACGCTGCAACGAGTTTGATAAACAGTGATTTCTTATGATAATGACGAATAACAGAGGTGCGACAGAAGATCAATAATACCGCAGAAACCTGATTCTACACTTTTAAATCTATTTCATGAAGATGAGCTCATATATGTCAGTGAAGCTGCTAACCTTGCCATGATGCTACTTCACCATGAAGGCAGATGCAAGATGCAGCAGCGAGAAAACTGCTAATCATAGGATTATACAGGGGCGGATTTAGGAAATTTGGGGCCAGGCAGGGGGCCCTCTGAATTCACTAGACACCACATAAACAGACCCATTCTACAGATAGAGAAATGTTAATAGAATAGACATCCATTATCTGTTCTAGGTTGTGTCCCTCTCTTCTTGTCCCTTTTCTTCTTGTTTTCCTCTCTATGTTTTGTACTCAGCTGACTTTTCATGCTGTCTCTAAAGGAATGAAAGATTTTTTCCAAGCACTAAGCTCACTTAGCTGATTGCTCCTTCCTGTGTTTCCAAAAAGGCCAAAGTAAATAACCCAGTCCTTCTTTTCACTGTAGACAAGCCATGATCTGCTTATCTGTTCTCCATTTTTCATTTGGATGAAATAATAGCTGCATGAATCATGACAGCAGACAAGATAGAGGAGAGCAGGAGGCGGGGTTAGCAATCTACTCGCTCTGGAGAGCAGAGTTCGCTGCTTTTAGATGTTGTCTCCAAAGTCTCCAGTAGCAGAAAAAAGTCTCTAGATTTGGCGCTAGGAGCTTTTTAGAAATCAAAGTGCTAGAGGGGTCTGAAAAGTGGCTAAATATAGCGACTAAAGCGCTAAGTTGGCAACACTGCTCTTTGCATGGTTTGTTTTCAAATGGTTTGCTGCTGTCTGTTTGGACCTTTCTGAACATGTGCAGCAAATGGACTGATCCAATATGGTGGACACTGAAGGGGGGGGGCTGAGACACACTTTATATTATCAGCGTTCTGATGGCATTTTAGCAAAAGGATTTTTATAGAGGAGAGCAGGAGGCGGGGTTACCAATCTACTTGCTCTGGAGAGCAGAGTTCGCTGCTTTTAGTTGTGCACAAAATTTGCACAAATAAGGAATAGTTGTATTAACCATACATTACACAGAGTTTTATGAATCCCCCAGGGACTTGGGACACTAAGCAACTGCCTAGTATTGCCTAATGGTAAATCCCCCCTGGGATTATATACTATTTTATTTTTATCCAGTTATTATTCTGTTTTAGAAATTTCTATAATAGAATGTGCAAAATATAATATGACATCATATCTAAAATAGGTGATTTTACAGGTGCACATTAATAATGTTTTGATAAAAATCCTTTTGCTAAAATGCCACCAGAACGCTTGTAATATTAAGTGTGTCTCAGAAAGGTCCAAACAGACAGCAGCAAACAATTTAAAAACAAACGCTGAAAGGAAAACAACAAGAAAAGGGACAAGAAGAGAGGGACAAAACCTAGAACAAATAATGGATGTCTATTCTATTAACATTTCTCTATCTGTAGAATGGCTCTGTTTGATGTGTTGTCGTCTCAATTCAGAGGGGCCCCTGCCTGTCTTTGCCTAGGGCCCCATATTTCCTAAATCGGCCCCTGGTTATGCTACAACCTTATTCCAAATGGTATTAAATAATTCTCTTATCTCTGTATTCTATTCTATTAGTGAGAATAAAAGTTTTTTTTTTATATTGTTCCAAAATAGCTGCAAAAAGAAATATAAGAAATAACATTTATTGTTGTAATTGTTATATTCTCTGTTGTATTTTATATCTTTAATGGCATCTTGCTTTAACTATTTGTGCTCTATTTAAGCTGAACCAGAGTTTCCCTGAAGGAGTAATCCCAAGGGATGAATAAAGTTGAGTTTATGTCTAATTTATATAAGTATTCACACCCTTTGTCACGAGGCACTGATCATCTTTCTTCTAGAGCTTAAATTGAGCTCACCTGTTTAAATTCAGTTGGTTAGACATGATTAGAAAAGGTGTATGCCTGACTCAGGTCACAGTGGATGTCCGAGCACAAACACCAAGCGTGAATTAAAAAGAAGCGTGTATGGGATTTAGGCGAAAGGCCACACCTCAGCCACTCGTCTAACGACCAGGCATTCTACTTTTACCAACTTCACCCATTCCTCACTGTCTGCACGTTCCTGTCGACCTCACCCTCCCACACCCTCAGTCGGACATCACCTCATCCCTCTTCCTCTTTTTCATCCAATCACCCTCAGGCCTGCTTTGTGTTCTCATTTTTCATCTGCTCCTGTTTATTCCAGGTACCATCTGGAGCTTCTAGGTTGGCAGCAGAAAACACAGTTTCCTTTAAACTGCCCCTCAATGCTAAACCTCCTCCTCCTAAAGCCATCATCACACTGCAAAAAACATCTAGAAATAAGTAAATTCACTTATTTTAAGAAAAAATGACTTATTTAGATTGCAATTTATTGCAGTGCTGGAGCTCTACCCACATAAAACATCCACACATCCATTCTATACTTGTAAAATCCAATGTAAGTACAGACTGTGCTCACCTCCACAAAACAATGAAAAATTCATTTTTATATATTTCATAGGACATATTAAACTCCTTACAGGCTACATTAAATTGACAGTAACATTTCTTCTAGATGCCAGAGAAGTCTATGGAGGATAAAAAGTGCCAAAATTAAATAAATAAATAAATACAGCATTAAATATTTGTCAATAATTAATTAAATGTGGAAATAAATAAATAAATGTCATTCATTAATTAAAACCACGTCACTAATATAAAGTGCCACAATTAAATAAATAAATACAGCGATAAACAATTAATTAAATGTGTCATTCATTAAATAAATAAGGAATTAAATATATAAATGTGTCATTCATTTAATAAAATACGTCTTCATTTTATTAAAAAAATAAATATAATTATTTCAGTGTGCATTTAATTATTTCATGGTCCTGGGGGCGGGGTTAACGCGAATCGAGTCACTTTATTCGATTTGCATGAAATAATTAAATGCACACTGAAATAATTATATATATATTTTTAATAAAATGTAGACGTATTTTATTAAATTAATGACACATTTATATATTTAAATCCTTATTTATTTAATGAATTACACATTTAATTAATTGTTTATCACTGTATTTATTTATTTAATTGTGGCACTTTATATTAGTGATGTGGTTTTAATTAATGAATGACACATTTATTTATTTAATTCCACATTTAATTAGTTATTGACACATTTAAATATTTATTTAAAGCTGTATTTATTTATTTAATTTTGGCACTTTTTATCCTCCATAGATGTCAAGTGACTGATGGGGATCTTTATACACATGCTATGGAGTTTCTCAATTATAAAATAATTTTGGAAACGTGTCACTGTGATAACTTCAAGGGTAATGGGAATGCAAATTGAACATGACCAAAAACTACAGATTCTCGGGGACAGAGGCCCTATTAATGTAAATTATTACAAGAAATACTTTATTTTACTTGTGAGCACTGCAGTGAAGAAATGTATCCTGGTTTTTTACTGCACCCCCAAAAATATACTGTATAATGATAGAGGAAAACATGCAACTTTGGTCCAATCTGGGGCCCCTTCATAGACATCTGGCCCTCTCTGGCTGTCCATGGTGTCTATTGCTGCGCAATATTGCAAAGATGAGAAATCTCCTGTCCAGGGGTGATGCTAGGAAACTAGCAGAGGTGGAAAGAGTACTAAAAAATTGTAATTGAGTAAAAGTATCTTTACTTTGCCTAAATTCTACTCAGAGTAAAAAGTAAAATTACCCATCTCAAAATTTACTCAAGTAAAAGTACAAAATTACATCATTTAAAATGTAATTTGAGTAAAAGTTACTTAGTTACTTTGAGTTATTTAATGCAAAAAAGGATGAGTCATGAATGGAATTGAGCACAAGGTGTTTTAATCGATTTCAAGGCGTATTTCAGTGGAAATCCACACTGCAGAAGATCAGCTGGGCTAAAGAACATACTTCCTCACAGCAGAAGGACAGTCACATCCTGAACCATAAAGTGCAAACAATTTTCAATCCTACTGTCCAACAGACACCATGATAACTAACTTACTGCCACATTTTTTCGTAAATTGGACGTTGATGTTTTAAAAGCTGAAAGCTCCGTTTTGCTGGGAAGGCACATGTTGCACTGCATCGTCACATTGTTCCCTTTTGTGCCTTTGAAAACAAATAATCCTTCCAAATATGGCCGAGGGTTTTTCTGGCTTTCGTCTCCAGAATATGTTTCCTCTTCAGGCCTTTCCTCATCCATACTCCCTAAATTGTGATTAGCAGCTGCCATCTTCTGAAGCGCAGCGCTGGATTATGAGACAATACAAAGGGTAAAGTATTTTTTTTATTTTTTACTCAGTAACGTGAGGGGGGTTTTAAATGTAGCAAGGTAAAACTACTTAGGTTAAAATTTACTCGAGTAAAAGTAAAAATTACATATTTTTAAAACGACTCAGAAAATTACAAATTACTTATAAAAAGTACTCAATTACAGTAACTTGAGTAAATGTAATGCATTACTTTCCACCACTGGAAACTAGTAACCTGACTCCGCCAGATGGATTTGCTCCTCATATCCATCTGTAAACCTTCCGTTGAAGTAATTTTGGGAAGGGGCGAAAATACTGGTTAGCTGATTGGCCTATGTTGCTGATAGACAGGCCAAATAAACCAATCAGATCAACGAAGCATATGACGTACTAACAGAGCG